TCTCCCTCTGACCCTCCTCCCTCTCATGCTCTCTGTCTCTCATTCTCTCTGTCTCAAATAAATAAATAAAATCTTTAAAAAAAAAAAAAAGAATGCATGAGTAAGAGATTTATAAGAATGCATGAGTAACCATTGATGGTTCATTGATGTCCAGTCACTACTGAGCTGACATCTGTCTCCTTTTCACTTATACCTCTGATCTTAGTTCTTCCCCCTAAAGTAATTCAAATCATCTGCTCTATTCCCTCTTTTTCAAAGAGTCTTCAGACATTTAGATGTCCGCTATCTCTCATCAAAGTCAAACTTGCCTAGTTTTCTTACCAGCTCCTTATCTGGTATAGTTTTAGAGTGTGGTCATCATCCAGGTTATCCATCACTGAGAGTTTTGGTCACTCAGATAACATGAAACTGTAATTCAAGTCTGTCCAAGGGCTGATTTATTTCTGGTTTCCTTTATCCTGGGAGTGTAGCTCTGAGGTTTCTGCTTTAAGTGAGTGGTGGCTTATCAAACTTCCTCCTTTTGGCACTCTTGCCTTTGACTTTTGCTTCTGGGTTTTAAAGGTTTTAAGAGCTTTTTTCTCCCATTTTTTTTCTGGATCTTCAAGTGCCTGAGAGCTGAAACCATTTTGGGTGGTTCGGATTATATCTCTGGGTCCTATTCTTTTGCCTTGATTTCAACCAGCTAATTCTTTACAATCTTAAGTCTTTGGGGATTTTAGGCTGTTTTAAAATATTTCCTCCAGTATTTGTATCTGTCCTCAAAGGGATTTCATCCAAGTTATTTAGTTAGTTGAAGCTAAAGTATCTGAGTTTTTAGGTCTTAAAAATTACTCAGTGTTATTCATATAAAATTGTAGTGAAATCCAATTTGGCATACAGTTTTTTTCTCAATATGAATACTGGTAGTTAAAAGACTGCTCTTGACACCTATATTATGTATTTACCTCACGTTTGAATTCTGATTCCCAGTTTGCATTACTCAATTTTCATTTCCATATAGAGAATAGGTGGGACCAAATGTTCTTTATATATACTTAGGTACATAACTTTTGGAGGGCTGGGTCTTCTTAGTGGGAATGATTTAATTTTTATCTCAAGGTTCCTTTGAAATGAGCCATGCCATTATTGGCAGAGTGGGATATTTAAATACTTCCTGGGTGTTCTTCCAAATCAGCTATAGAAAATAAAAGAATAATTCATTTTCAGAAGCACTCTGAGCATCTTCTACCTGTAATGTGACTGACTTAGATCTTCGTATGGCTGGCTCCTTCTTGTTACTGATATGTTTCAACTCAAATACCACTTTTTTAGAGAGGTCTCTGAGAAATTTTGCCTTTATGAATGATGTTTATTGTATGAGTTTGTCAGATACTTTATCATGCTATAAACATTTAAAAGCATTTAATTATGGTCACGCTGCTCTTTAGAAAGCTTGTATCAGTTTGTATTTCTACCATCAGCATGTGAAAAGGCACACTTTAAGTCAGTACTTTTCCACACCACATGGGTACTCTTATTTTTAAAAAGTTTCAAATTTCATAGGCAGCAAAGAATTTATTGGTTTTGATTTATTTTTTCCTTTTAAACCAATATTTTGTGTTGGTACAGCTGTTATTTTTCATAAAGATGGGATAGTTTTTTTTGAAACAAAATAACTTATTTTTAAATAATTTCAGATTTAGAGAAAAGTTGCATAGATAGTACGAAGAATTTCCTGTTTCATAGACCCTTGACCCAAATTCCCCAAATGTTAACATTTTAATCATTCTTTGTCTCTTCCTCCATACACATGTACTTATTATTTTTTTCCTGAATGGTTTAAGTTGCAGACTTTATCTCTAAAAATGTTGGTGTTCGTTCTTTTTTTGTTAAATTTTTTTATTAGACTGTCTTATTCTAGAGATTCTGGGCTGCACCTTATTAATTCATAATTGAACTATTATTGACATGAAACATATTAGTTTCAAGTGTACAACATAGTGATTCGATATTTGTATATATTGTGAAATGATCACAGTAAGTCTAGTTAACATTCATCACTACACACAGTTACCAATTTTTATTCCTTGTGATGAGAACTTGAAAGATCTACTCTCTTAACAACTTTCAAATATATAATATTAACCACAATCACATGTGGTACATCACTCATAATAATTTTAGTAAAAAAAATATTTTTTCTTGTCCTGGTTTAATCCAGTCCAGGATCATACATTATATTTAGTTATCACATCTCCGAATCTTCTTTTGTGGAACAGTTACTTGGTTCCCTGTCCTTTATAACTTAGACATTTTTATTTTATTTATTTATTTATTTATTTAT